GGGGGGGGCTATTATTTAATTCAGGAAAAATCTGTTAAAATCGGGTCCGCGGCGCGGACCCGGTAGGCCGCGGAGGCGGCCGTGAATAAGTCCGCCCTCCGAGCTCGGCCCCGCGGACGCGTCCGCGGGTGTTTCATAGGCGCAGACCCGCGCTGTTTTTAGCACGGGGCTGACTGTTCGTGTCCCAAAGTTGGGACTGTCCCAGTCCCGTGCTAATTTTAGCGCAGGCCTGTGCTATTTTTAGCCCTAGGACTGCTGCACTTGGGCCCGACCACCCGGCCTCTCCACCATAAAAGAGAGGTCGTGCCACTCAAAGGAGAGAGAACACACGTGCGAGGACGCGGAAACGCTGGTGCGATAAAGCAAGAACTAGAGCAAGGAGCAAGCAGGGAAAGGAGCGAGATGAGCGAGGACCAGGCGGGCAGGAGGTAAGAGAGGGGGAGAGCTGCTACAGCAGGGCATGAGTCTGGGTTTTGGCCGAGGTCCTAACCCCATCTCCCACATCTTCTCCTCCTTTTGTCCTTTCCCATCTTTCTCTCACTCTTTCCCTCACTCTCTCCTTGCTCGCTCCGCTCTTTCCCATTATTCAGGCTGCCTTCCCATCGTTTTGGGGGGCACTATGCTACCCTTCTTCTGCTGCTCGCACCGGGTCTTAGTCCACGCTTGACGAATTAAATCCATATGTGATTCTTTAAATTATGTATGTGTCAGCCTGGCGCAGTCTGGCGCAGTTCTGGTCCGTCATTTGGCAGCCTGGTGCAGTCTGGCACAGTTCTGATCTGCCATTTGGCAGCCTGGCGCAGTCTGGAACAGTTCTGATCCGCCATTTGGCAGCCTGGCGCAGTCTGGCACAGTTCTGATCTGCCATTTGGCAGCCTGGCGCAGTCTGGCATAGTTCTGATCTGTCGTTTGACAGCCTGGCGTAGCTTGGCATAGTTCTGAACCAGGGAAAACCATGCGCCCACTCACACTCCATTGCCATTCGGATCTGGGGAAGTTGCTGTTCTTGCCTTTGTGCGCCCACGCGCACTCCATTACTGTACCAGAGAACCATGCGCTCACGCACACTATGTTTTGAGGGCCATTTCTGAACCAGGGAAAACTATGCGCTCACGCGCACTGTATCTGAGGGTCGATTTTGCACCAGCATGTCAACAGGCGCTCAATCTGTATGCTTTGCCTTGGTGATCATGAGCCAGCATGGCAATAAGCACTTAATCTGTGAGCTTTACTCTGATGATCTTGAAGTAGCGTGCCAATAGGCACTCAATCTGTGAGCTTTGCATTGATAATCCTGAATAAGTGCGACGCACTCAAACTCAGCTTTGAGTAAGTGCCACACTGCGCACCTGATCTGTGGAACTGCATTGCTGTTCTTGAGCAAATGCGACTGTGCGCACTCGAACTCAAGTGCAACACTGCGCACTCGATCTGTAAAACTCAGCTTTGATGATCCCAGGTAAGTGCGATGCTGCGCACTCAGCCCGTAAACACTGCATTGATGATCTTGAGCAAGTGTGACTGTGCGCACTCGAACTTAAGTGCGACACTGCACACTCGATTTGCAAGATTTGACCTTGATGAAAGGGCGTCTGTGTGACAAAGCGCACTCAACCTGCAAACTCGGGCACGCTGAATTTGAGTCTGTGCGACAGTGCGCACTCAATTTGTAAACTTGGCTTTGATGAACTTGAGTCAGTGCGACAGTGCGCACTCAATCTGTAAACTCTGCCTTGATGAGCTTGAGTCAGTGCGCCCATGCGCACTCAATCTGTGTACTCTGCCCTGATGATTTTGAGCCAGCGCGCCAGTGCGCACTCAACCTGTGAACTTTGCTATCGATTCTGAGAGCCAACGTGCACCCCATTGAGGGCTGCCAATCGAAGGTCTTTGCCAATTCGGGACTATACACCAGTGTGAATTCCCCCCCGGGCAAGTTGTCTGAGTGTGCGCCCAGGCTCGAGCAAGTTGTCTGAGTGTGCGCCCGGGCTCGGGCAGGCTGATTGAGTGTGCGCCTAGGCTCGGGTAGGCTGATTGAGTGTGCGCCCGGGCTTTGTATGGCAGTTCGAGTGCGTACCTAGGCTCGGGCAGGCCGTTTTAGTGTGCGTCTGGGCTTTGTTTGGCAGTTTGAGTGCGTATCAAGGCTTGGGCAGGCTGTTTGAGTGTGCGCCCAAGCTTGGTATTGCTATTTGAGTGCGCGCCCAAGCTTGGTATTGCTATTTGAGTGCGAGCCCATGCGCGCCCAAGCTTGGTATTGCTATTCGATTGCGCGCCCATGCGCGCCCAAGCTTGGTATTGCTATTTGAGTGCGCGCCCATGCGCGCCCGAGCTTGGTATTGCTGTTTGAGTGTGCGCCCAAGCTTGGTATTGCTATTTGAGTGCGCGCCCATGCGCGCCCGAGCTTGGTATTGCTATTTGATTGCGCGCCCATGCGCGCCCGAGCTTGGTATTGCNGCGCGCCCATGCGCGCCCGAGCTTGGTATTGCTATTTGAGTGCGCGCCCATGCGCGCCCGAGCTTGGTATTGCTATTTGATTGCGCGCCCATGCGTACCCAGGCTCGAACTCACTATTTGAGTGCGTGCCCATGCGCGCCCAAGCTTGGAACTGTTATTTGAGTGCGCGCCCAAGCTTGGAACTGTTATTTGAGTGCGCGCCCAAGCTTAGTATTGCCATTTGAGTGCACGCCCATGCGCGCCCACGCTCGGTATCATTACATAAGTGCGCCCAGGCTCGAGTAGGCTATGTGAGTATGTGCTCTGACGTTCTGATGATTCTAGAACGCACGTCCCGCCGGTATGATGGTTGGGGACGCACGCCCTGCTAGTATGATTAGTCTTGAGGACATGACTGGATGTCTCTGATGGTATGACTAGCCCCAACTCCCGCTGATTTGATTTTTTGCCGGTCAGCCTCTACATGGACCATATTCATCTCAGTCCCTGTGCGGACAGTATTTTTCCCGCACATATGGTATCTGCGCAGTCCAGTTCGTGTATACAGTATTTTGCAATTGGTCCCTGCGTAGATGACACTTTGTTGATCAGTCCTCCACAGTGACGATACTGGCAGTCCAGTCCTCATATTCTAATCCAGTTGCTGCAGAGATACTCATATGACGTTGCTGCTGAGCTGCTGAGTTGCTGTTCAGCCGGGCCCATTCAGGCGGGCCCCTATATAGAGTTGTTGTTGTTCAGCCGGGCCCATTCAGGCGGGCCCCTATATAGAGTTGTTGCTGTTCAGGCGGGCGCATTCAGGCGGGCCCCTATACCGAGTTGACTGTTGTTCAGGCGGGCCCATTCAGGCGGGCCCCAATATAGAGTTGTTGCTGTTCAGGCGGGCCCATTCAGGCGGGCCCCTATATCGAGTTGACTGTTGATTCAGCCAGGCCCATTCAGGCCGGCCCTTATATCGAGTCGATTGCTGTTCAGTCGGGCCCATTCAGGCGGGCCCCTATATTGAGCTGGTTGCCACCGGCTTGGCTGGAGGATATATTGAGGTGCTGCCCTCTCCGACCCTATCGAGTTGGGTTATTTTCCTGAGTTGCTGATATCCCCCTTTATCACCAGGACACCACTGTTTGGTGTAACCACTTGCCAGGGGCATTTTACCTTACTTTGCAGATTGGTCAAGCTGGCTCGCCAACATGAGACGGCCACCACATGGGGTAAGCTGGTTGAGAAGTTCTGTTATCGACACATTGGACATCAGAGCTTCGTCATAAGGGCCAATGAGTCCCCACATCGAGATACACATTGGTGATCACTTATCACGTGAGAGATGCTGGGCAGGGAATAAAGGGAGCCACCTATGACCGGATCACCGACTATATTTTCCGCAGGGAGAGTTACTGGAGGGAGCACTGGTTACACGTGGTGTTTCCCCAGGTCCCCTTTGCACCAGGCGGTGCTCTCTTTGACTATGATGGCTGTAATCCAAAACCGCTGAGCAGAGGCGGCACCAGGGAAAAGAGGCGTCAAGACAGGAGGATAAGGAGCGAGGTGGCCAGATCCGGGATACCTATTACCACCTGCTTACAGAGGTCAGAGACAGACGAATTTGACCAAGAGCCTTGTTGCGTGAGTGATGTTGACTTGGGGGACTATTTTGACTGGGATACTCACAGGGAGTGAGCCCGCTTGAATTGGAGCAGACCCAGGGCATCGTATGACATTGGTCACCGGAGTGAGACGCAGGCGGAAGGCAGCCTTACGACGGGTTGCTTACGTCTTGGCACGATACCTGCTTGAGGGTGATTGATTCAGGCATTGCATGTCAGGAGGACCCAAGTCAGAGGAGGTAGCCGGCCCTTCTAGGGGGAAGGGACCAGTCCCATATGTTGGGGATGGCTACAGTCATTTGGTGGGACTAGACTTCGTTATACAAGCTTTTCGGAAGCCACTCTATGGAGACCATTTCTTGGAGGTTTCTTATGATTACATCTACGACAAGGGACGGATTGAGATCTTGATTGTTGTCACTGGCAACATTTGCCTCGTCGAGGAGTTGTACCTCCGGAGTGTCGCGGACGAGGAGATGGCGAGATGTATGGCATATATCAGCAAGATCGATCCTGCCGCATCTTTTGACATCAGCTATGTGGTCCTAGAGTCGATAGCCACTCAGGTTCTCAATGATGAGGAGGACCAGCGTGTACCAGATACGAAGTCCCAGACAGTCGAGCCCACTCACAAGGGGGTACCACTCATCGTCATTGATTGAGCCTCATATCTTCTAGTCACTGAGATGTATTATGACATTATTATGATTTATCAGTGACTGCAGCCCCTCCTATGGCTGCTTCTTGCATTCTCTGCGTACTACTCTTCAGTCTCGTGTCTCTAGTCATGCTCTTGCAGAGTCTGGTTTCTGGTCTTCCTGTTCTTTCAGTGTTATTTGCTTTATGATGCATGATTCTATAATGCATGAGATATTATGTTATTTTCCTCTTCATATCATACAGGTTACACTCAAGGCAACTTGAAGGACTCCTGGATAATAGGGACTCCGGTGACCTTGAGTCTGACCTTTATACGGGGTCAGGTGCAGGCGATAAACCCGAACGCCTAACTCTAAGCCGTGTCGCTGCTGGCAGGAGGGATAACCCTGACTACTCGACTGCGTGACAAAGGCTGCTTGTGAATGCACTTCTACATAATTTCCCTAAAACTTACCAAAATCCTGCGTGACAGCCTGCCAGTCCACCAACCCACTGCACTCGGCCGGGGAGGGACATCGGACCAGGCCCTGGAAGCGGTGGGGGCGCGACACCGCCACTGAAATGGAAGGTAAGGCCGGATTCTGACTGCTCAGGTCGAGCGCGGTCCTGACCTGAAGTCAGTTTCTTCTTTTGGGGGATCCTTCCCTCTTTTTTGACCTGCCTGGTCGTGCCGGGCGATCGTCCACAGCCTAGCTGGCCCGGGCATGTTTGGTCGGGGTTGCCTAGCTGGGCGGCGCCCCAGCCTAGCTATAGATTATATTTTAGCAGATGACGCAGTATGTTGAGGAGGTATAAGTGTAACTTCTTGTCTGGGGGAGAAAGGGTGTTACATTTTTTGACTCTCTTTGTGGAAGAGAACTTACTGCTCAATATCATTGTAGACATACACCTGGAAATGATCATTGAAGCAATTCCGTTGGCATGGTACAAGTTGCTGAGACGAGGGCCTATACTACAGGAAGGGGATTGGATTTCCTTGCCAGGGGATTTGAATCGGATTGGCAGAATCCTCATGATACGCCCCTTTTAAGCATTGTTGGAACCATAGTTGCGGCGCACGCCGGTTTGCGCACGGTTCGCGCACGTCGCGCCGCGCACCGCACAACGCACCGAAGCGCAGCGCACTTGAAAAATTAGGTCCAAAAAAAAAATAAAAAAAATCGGGTTTTCTAATTTCTTAGAGCCCCCAACTCGGCAAAAATGTTAAACTCACCGCGCAAGTTCACAAACCGGCCGCGCCCACGGCCCGAACTTTTCTTTTGGGTAAGGGTTGCTCAAAATTCGATTTGCGGAGGCCCTTCCCCAAAAAGTCTCGAATGGCGAGGCACAAAATAAGGCTCATTCCAACTTTTGTTTTAGGCGGGGTATGAGAGTTGTCCTTCCCGCTGCCTTCTGCAAATCCCACACAGTAGCGGGGTCAGTTCGCAAGAAGGGGTAGTCGCCTAATAACGACATGCCCCGCGAATCTATCGCCAGCCGACCACCAATATATGTTGAAGATTGGAGTTCTGGTCCGCATGTCGGCAGTTATGGGTTAGGATGAAGATGCCCGTGGCTCTCTCGTTTTTTTGTTTTTGTTTTCTTACGAATACGTCCAGTGGGGCTTGCTCCACTACTCACCAAATGCACAAAAGACATAGCATATGGCGGTGTATGGTTCCATGTTTCAGCAGAAGATTCATTCTGCTCTCTCGTTTTTT